CTGTCTTTGCAGGATCTCTGCCTTAGTGCCCCTGTGCTGTGTGTGAGCCCGCCTCCACCCAGGGAGGATCCTAAGCCTAGACAGCAGAGCCCCAGCAGACTTGGGTGACTTGGCTGCTTTTTGGATTGGGCCCCCATGAGGATTTAGGATAGTGGACGTTGGCCCTCAGTGGAGGGCCTGGCACAGGGCAGGTGCTCAGAATGATTCTAGCAGCTTTTCCAATAGCTGCCATGATTTGGCCTCTGTGTGCATCGTGTGCTGTGATTTACCGTCTCTGAGCGCATGCTGTGGGCCCGGCACTGTTTTAGGTACCGGCGGTAGAGTAATGACTGCACCCCACAAGTTCCTGCGTTCGTGAAGCTTACGTGTCCTTGTGGGAAGACACAGTAAGGCAGAGGTAACTCGGGTGTATGCGTCAGAGGCCGTCAGTGCTCTGGAGAAAGGTAAAGCAGGAAGAGGAGAAGAGGGAGTTGGAGGGCAGGTGGTGCAGGCCTTGCTGAGAAGGGGGTGTTGGAGTGACAGACTGGAAGCGGCCGGGGGAACAGCCTTTGGGCTCCTGGGCGGAGTGGGGCAGGCTGGGGCAGGGGGCCGGTGTGGCTGGAGCAGAGCTGGGGAGCAGGTGGGGGCTGGGAGACCGGGGCGTGTGGCCAGGGAGAGGAGGAGTACTAGCAGGTTTCTCTGGTTACTCCGGCTCCAGCCGGAGCCGGAGACCTGGGAGGAGGCTCTTGCAATAGAGGCGCCAGGAGGAGGGAGGGGAGTGCCTGAGGGAAGCAGTGAGAAGCCCAGGAGACCCCGCAGATTGAGGAGCAAACCTTTGGATCTCGTTGGATTGGACTGGGGGGAGCCGTGTGGTCAGCGGTCAGGACGCGCCCTCGGGCTGAACGAGGAGACGAGGCGGTTTGATTTTGGAGTCAGATGGGAGTCGAGGACAGAGACGGGGCAAGTGAAGAGTTCCGTTTGGGGCACCTGACTGGCTCGGTGGGTAAAGCACTTGACTCTTGATCTGGAGGTTGTAAGTTCAAGCCCCACACTGGGTGTAGAGATTACTTAAAAACAAACATTTTAAAACCAGTCAGTCACTCCCAAGACCAGTAGTGGCGAGAGACCGTGAGTATAGTTCACGAGCGGAAGCGGTCCCGGGCCCGAGTGGGCTTGTGCCGTTCCCGTGGCAGGCACCGTGTACAGGTGTGTGGTGTGCCCCTCTTGTGGCACGTGGCGTCTTGAGGAAGGGTGCCGTGTGGTCTGGTGGCGGCCCTGACCTTCACAGGGTGAGGGGAGGAGGAGGACACGGCGAGGCTGGGGCATACGAGCCGAGTGAAGTGTGGAGGAGGGGGCCCGGAGGTGGTGTCGCGGGGTGGAGGGTGTCCCACGGCGGGTGACGTCCCCCCCCACCCCCCCTTGTGGTGAATGCTGCTGAGGGGCCAGTCTGGGGAGGAGTGGGCTTGGCCCTCAGACTTAGGAAAGGCATGTGTGACCTTGACTAAAGGCTGCTTGGGTAGAGTTAGTAGCAGAAAAGTGGACACGGTGAGCGCAGACAACTTCCGGAGCAGCTTCGCTCTAAAGGAGAACGGAGAGGTTGGGTGGGAGCCGGGAAGGAGTTCACGTGAAGCAGAGGAGTTTTGTTCTTTAAGCAAGAATTAGCCTTGTGGTGTTTGTATGCCGCTGAGTCTGACCAGGAGGGAGAGGAAAACTGATGGATGCAGGAGGAGGGGGAGGCTTCCTGGAATGCTGGCCTTGAGCCCGAGGGCTCTGATGTGGCCCAGAGGGGCGGCCTCGTAGCAGCCCCAGACCCTCCGGGGAATCAGGAGAGAAGGCCGTGGGCGGGTGTGTTGGTTGGTGCTAAGGGCTTCTGGGTGAAAGTCCTCAGAAAGGAAGCAAGGTCATTGGAAGGGTGGGCAGGGGGTAGTGGGTGGAGGAGAACGGAGAAGGCCTGAACTAGGCGGGGCCTGCTTGCTGGCAGTGCCGATGGACCACCCATGTGGGGAGGTTTGGCAGACAGGAAATCCCACCACGTTTGGGGAGGAAACCGGAGATGGAACAGGGCAGGGTAGCGTTTAGAAGGAGACCAGGCCTTGGGGCGCCCGGGTGGCTCAGTCGGTTAAGCATCCATCTTCGGTTCAGGTCGTGGTCTCACGGTTCATGAGTTCGAGCCCCACGAGGGGCTCTGCTGACAGCTCAGAGCCTGGAGCCTGCTTCAGATTCTGTGTCTCCCTCTCTCTCTGCCCCTCCCCGACTCACACTCTGTCTCTTTCTCTCTCAAAAACAAACATTAAAAAAAGGGAGACGAGGGCCGCTGGTTCCCGCGGGACTGCTTGGTGTGGAGCCCAGCGCTGCACCCCCGTCCTAATTTGTTGGCCCTGGACTCTTGGCGTGGCTTGAAAGACTATCCTCTGAAAAGCCGTGTTGGACGAGGACTGATTGATATGCCCGTTTTTCTGCACAAACAGCCCTGCGAGCCCAGCAGTGTGGCCTACCTGGTGGCTGGGGACAACTTTGGTGACCCGTGCGGCCAGTGTGCCCATAAGGGCACAGTTTCCCGAGGCCTTGGGGGTTCCAGTCAGCGGGTCTCTAGGTGACTGGCAAAGCTGGGTCAGCAGCCACGGATGGCCGGTGGTTCCTTGGAGCTTAGTCGTCCCCGCTGTGGGGCGACCTTTGTTGGGGGCGGGGGGGCGGTTCTCTGGTCCGCTCTGGTTCTGGCCTGATGTTGACGGGCATGGGGTGGCGGGGGGTGGCGGCTGCCTCTTTCCAGGACCTCCACAAAAAGTACTCGTACATCCGCAAGACCAGGCCCGATGGAAACTGCTTCTATCGAGCTTTTGGATTCTCCCACTTGGAGGCGCTGCTGGATGACAGCAAGGAGTTGCAACGGTAAGGATGCTGGCCACTGGCCACTCGGGCGCCGCAGGAGGTGGGCGGTGGCTCCAGGAAGGGCCCCCGGGGCTCCCTCCCGCTCTCAGTGACCGGGAGGTGCCCAGACAGTGGCTGGGCTCTTGCTTTGGTCTTCTGAGCTGGGGGTGGGGGTGGGGGTGGGGGGCAGCGCTGGCCGGTTCCCCCAGTTCTGCGCCGGCCTCTCTGCTGGCCGAGGAGCCCACGCTGGCCTCCCTTTCCCTCCCACCCATAGGTTTAAGGCCGTGTCCGCCAAGAGCAAAGAGGACCTGGTGTCCCAGGGCTTCACCGAGTTCACAATTGAGGATTTCCACAACACGGTGAGCCCAGCCTCCCCCGTCGCCCTCTCGGCCGGGGTGGAGGTCGGGTGGCCTGGCCGTGGCGGGGCTGACCCATCTCCTCCTCCTCCGTTGTGCCCTCTGTGCCCTGTGGGTGGCAGTTCATGGACCTGATCGAGCAGGTGGAGAAGCAGACCTCCGTAGCCGACCTGCTGGCCTCCTTCAATGACCAGAGTACCTCGGACTACCTGGTGGTGTACCTGCGGCTGCTCACATCAGGCTACCTGCAGCGCGAGAGCAAGTTCTTTGAGCACTTCATCGAGGGTGGGCGGACCGTCAAGGAGTTCTGTCAGCAGGTGCCGTCCCTCCCCTTTCTCTCTTATCTCAGGGTGGGGGCACCAGGGCCGGGGGTGGGCGTGTATGCAAGGGCGACGTGCCGAGCGGCGCTGAGAGCCGGGCCCGGCCCCCTCCCTGTGCCGCAGGAGGTGGAGCCCATGTGCAAAGAGAGTGACCACATTCACATCATCGCGCTGGCCCAGGCCCTCAGCGTCTCCATCCAGGTGGAATACATGGACCGCGGCGAGGGCGGCACCACCAACCCGCACATCTTTCCCGAGGGCTCCGAGCCCAAGGTCTACCTTCTCTATCGGCCTGGACACTACGACATCCTCTACAAATAGGGCTGGCCCTGGCCTGCCACTGCCCTGCCTGCCCTCCCCTCTGCCAGGCGCTAGACATGTACAGAGGTTTTTTGTGGTTGTAAATGGTCATACTTCACTCCCCTCCTCCCCCCGTCACACGACCTTCCACATTTTATTAAAGGGGATGCTGGTGGTGAGTCGCGTGTGTGCGTGTCCCTGCTCTGCTGCTGCCCGCCTGGCTGCTATGTGTCTGGCTGCCCCCTCCTCCCCCCCGCCAGGTGGGTTCTTCTCGACCTTCCACCTGTCCGTGTCCAAGCCTCCCCACCAGGAGCAGTTTTGAGGGGGCTAGGCCTCTGGGGGACCCCTCCTGGTTACTGGGGTTCCGCTTCCTTCCCTTCCGGCACCCACCCCCCCTTCCCTCCTTAGCTGGCCCGGGGGCTTCCATGAGAATCTTGGAAGTTCCCTGGGGACTTGCCCAGGGACCGAGGATCACCCAGGCTTCGAGCTGCTCCCTCGTAGGCCCTGACCTGACTGCACCTCTCTGTGCCGGTCAGGGCCCCAGACCTGAGCTGCCTGCCCTCCCGTCAGGGGTCTGCATGGTCCAGTCCTGGGTGGAGAGGGCTGACGTGATGGGGCCTGGCTCAGGGCAGGTGGAGGAGCTGGGGCACCCCAGTGTACCCCCAGGTGGTGCCAACCTGGTGGGGGAAGGGTAGCCTTCAAGTCTGCGTGTGGTCCACGGTCCCGAGGTCTAGGCAGGGCTTGCCAGGCCGCCGTTCCTCCCCCGCCCCTCCCCCTGCCTGTGCCTGCTTTGCACCCCCTCTGCTTGGGCCACGGTGTCTCTGCATTGCCTTCCTTTCTGCCTTCACCTCTCTTCTTCCCTCACCCCAGCACACATGGGGTCTTGGCCCCCAGGCTGTGAGCTCCTTGGGGGCAGGCCCTCAATAAATGTGAAGTGCTGCTGCCCACCTCTGCGGTCCGGCCCGTGCCTCCACCCGCCCGCCCTCGCCAGCCCTGTTAAGCCAGAAGCACTTGTCCACACCTCTGGGCTGTCTCCTTCCCCAGCCAGCACTCAGACAGTAGGAGCTGTGACAAGGGTGGTCTTTATTAGGAGGCTCCTCAGGCGCCAGGGGCTGAGGGGAAGAATGGGGGGGGTGGGGGAGGCGTCCCGGGCCCAGCTGCAGGCTTCGGAGACCTCTTAGAGCTGGGAGCGAGGTCCGGTAGGCCCAGGCGAGTCTGTGGGCAGAGCAGAGCCGTTAGAGGGAGTGTAGGCTGTGGACCTCCCCTTGTGACTTTCCTGCGTGGGGGTGAGCAGGGGCAGGGATTGGGGGGGGGCGGCGAGCCCTGGTGTTAGTGGGCAGGTTAGTGGGCAGCACACGGCAGGGCAGACCCTGCTTACCAGTCCTGGGCAGGGTGGGCGGCGGGTGCCGTCAGGCTGGAAGGCAGAGGACAGTGAGAGCCTGCTCTGAGGGGGAGGGGCAGGGGCAGGGGTGAGGGCTGACCCAGGTGCCAAGGGGTACGTACCCACAGGGAAGTAGTGGGGAAGCCGTTGCATGTAGATGCTTTCGTCCTTCTCCAGGAACACACAGATGATCAGCCGGTCCACCTGTGCCGGGACCTGCTCAGCCCAGGGTAGGGGTGGCCGGCACCCACACCCCGGCTCCCCTGTGTTATCACTGCCCCCACCTCTACAGGTTTTCACCTGCTTTTTTCTTGGGGGGGGGCGGGGCACCGACCCTGAGTTTGGAGCTCAGGTTGCACCCTTCAGGGAAGGGGTTCATGGTGTGCACTCCACCGCCCTTGCTGGATGGGCAGGAGAGCAAAGTGGTCTCGAGGGAAGGGGCGGGAACGCAGAGAGGGCTGGTGCGGTCCTGCCCCCCCCCCCATCTTGTCCCTTCGACTGGGCCCAGGACTCACCTTGTCCTTGTGTTGCTCCAGCCACTCGCGCAGCGCGGCCAACACTACCTCCGCCGCCGCCTCACTGGGGTAGCCTGGGGACCCGCCGGGGCGGGAGTGAGTCTGGGCTCTGGCCCGCCCCCTCCACGCCCCGGGACCCGCCCAACTCCACCTACCCGGTTCCGCTCCGCCCCTTTCACGCCCTCCCAGGCCCCTCCTCGCGTCTGGGCCCACCCACTTCCAGGTCCCGCTCCGCCCCCTTCTAGACCAAGCCTCCCCCCCCCCCCCCCCCCCCCCCCCCCCGCCCGTCGCGCTCCACTCACCAAACACGCCGGTGGAGATGCAGGGGAATGCCTGGGGCGGGGGGAGGGGGGAGGTGAGGGAATTGGGGACAGTGTCACTCTCCAACCACCGCCTCCGAGGGGCCTTCTTCCTACCGGTCTAGGCCGCCTCCTCCCCCTCCCTGTCCCCGCCCCTCTCACCGCGGAGCGGAGCCGATGCTCCAGCAGCAGGTCGAGGCTGCTCAGGTAGCAGCTGCGGAGCTCGGCAGCCTGGCTGGCGCTGGGCTCTCCGTGGGCGATGGGTCCCACCGTGTGGATGACATCTGCGGGAGGCGACGGGGTCAGACTGGCCGGGGTCTCCAAGCGGCCATCGGCTTTCTCCCCCTGCCCGCCCTGGAGAGGACAGGAAACAGGCCCTCTCCCCAAGTTCTGAGAGTCCCCAGGGGACTCTCATGCAGAAGTGTGCCCTCTAAATGCGCTCGACAGAGACAGGCAGGCCCGCGCTGGGCCCCCTTCGCACAGCTGCATGGGCCCGTCTGAGCCGCGGGGCGGAGTGGGCGAGCGAAGTCACTGCCTCCTCAGCTCCTCTCACCCCCTCCCGCCACCTGCTTCCTGGTGCGTGCGAGGAGGGGCCGGGTCCCGGCACTTTAAGGTTAGGAAGCGACCCCTGAGGAGGCCTCCAGCAATTGTGTGGGGGCTGCTCCCTTAAGCCCCCAATTACACGAGGTGCCCTGTGGGGTCGGGACTCACACTTGGCCGGCAGCCGATAGCCGCCGGTGATCTTGGCCTTGCCGGTCTCACAGTTCTGCAGGGTCCGGCACTCGTCGGTGAGGAGGGGTCCAGCGGCCCGGTGAATGCAGCCGTCCACTGCAGGGCAGAGGGGAGTGAGCCGTGGGGCGCCCCGCGTCACGCCTGAGCCCGTTTTACAGAAGAGAAAGCGGAGGCCCACGCACAGAATACTCCCAACCCCCTCGGCTGGGCCAGGACCCACCGGGCACCGCGCGCGCCTTCTCCCGCCGCCTCCGGCTGCTCGCTAACGCCCGCCGCCCCTACTTGCTCCGAGGCGCGGAGGCGGGTCGCAGCAGGTCTCGGCGGGAAGCGGCGCGGGGCGGCCGGCAGGGGGCGCGCCCGGCTCGCCCTGCAGGTTCCCGGCCGTGCGGCAGGGGCGCGGGCGGGGCCGGGGCCTCCCCCGGCCGGAGTGGCTGGGGAAGGCGGGGTCCGCGGCGGCGGGAACCGCCACCCTAGCCCGGCCAAAGGGAAGGTCGCCCGGCTTTGGCCCGGAGGCGCCGCGAGCCCCGCGACCGGTGGCCGCTTCCGCCCGAGGAGCCCACGAGCGCCGACTGGCACCGCGCACCGGATCCCCAGGCGAGGCCCCTCCCGGCCGCGGCAAACTCTGGGACCCCCTTTACAGATGATGAAACCGGGGTCACCTAGTTAACAAGTGGCAGCTGCGGTGGGGGCCTCGAGCCTGGGTCTTCCGACCCCCTCCTCGCCCTCCTTGCGGGGAGGTGGACGGAGGATCCGGGTGCGCGCCCCTGCTCGTTAGCGAGCCGCCTCGTTAGCGCATCCGGCTTAATTGCGGCGGGCCCGGGCTTGTTTATCTGAGCGCGGCTCTGGGACCTCGGGCAGCGACCCTGGGGACGCGGGCCCAGATAAACAACTCGGGCACCGCGGGAGGAGCGTCTCCTCCGCCCCTTCGGCCGGACCTCACCCCGGTGCCACAGCCTCAGTGGCCTCAGTGGCCCCGGTGGGAAAGGCGGGGCTCGGCTCTCGTCCCCTGGGCCAGCGGGGCACACCGGCAGGTCTTTTCCCCTGAGCGGCCACTGCCTCATCTGGACGATAGCGACGGTGACCCCTCTTCAGGGGAGGGGTTTGCATCCTGGCCAGGAGAACGTGACCCACCTCTGGCAGTAACCTAGCTCGCAGGGCACCCCAGGCCTGTGCCAGGAGCTGCTTGGCACCGGCTGCCGGGGCTCACAAGGCCCAGCAGCAGGAAAGAGGCCTCATTTCTCCATTTTGCAGATGCGCACACCGAGGCCCTTCCTCCCTCATCCCATCCACCCCACCCCCAAAGTCTTGGCAGAGGTCCAGGGACACCAGCTGGACCACCCCCCTCTTTCTTCTCTTTTGTGCCCCGTGGGGCCCAATTAAACCTAATTTTGTGACTTCACTTAGAGCTGGCACCAGGCGATTTCCCAGAGCACCCCGCGCTGGGGGGGGGGGGGGGGGGGAGGAATGGGGCAGAGGAGTCGGGAGCCCTGGGAGGACCTCTCCCGCAGGGAGGGGTAAGGGCAACGGTGGCCCAGGGGAGGGCGGAGCGGGGGACCCAAGGCGGGGCCCCTGAGTTCCCTGTCCAGGCGGCGCTCAGAGGCCGCACAGCCTGGAGGGTCACGCCGCGTCCGCGTGCAGTGTGTCCGTTCTGGGTGAGATGCCAGCTGACCACCCAGCAGCGTGTATGAGAGCAGGGGCTGTGGAGCTGGGCAGCCCGGGCTTCCAGGCCCAGCTCTGTCAGTCACAGATATGTGCAGCCTGGAGCCTATCACTTAGCTTCTCTGGACCCCAACTGCCCCATCTGTAAAATGGGCTCCACCTCCTAGGGCTCTCGGAAGGATTAAGCGAGTTAATTTCTGTAAGGCGCTGAAGCCAGGGCCTGGCATGGGTGAAGGTGGATGGGTGTTGGCTGTCGTTAGGACAGTGGCATAGTATGAGAACGTGCTCCCTGTGGGGACACAGGGGAGGCGGCTGTCCAGGCAGGTGTCAGGGTGTTCGGGGCCTACGGGGGGGTAAGCATGGGTCTGGGCCGGCTCTCCTGGGGGCCTCCCGCCCTGCCCTAACGGTGCCACTTGGCTCCTGGCTGCCTGCCGTCCTCCCTGCAGGCGACCTTGGCCTGCTGAGGAGGCTGTGCCCAAGTGCAGAAACACAGTAAGATCTGTGTTTCAGGGACTTAATGTTTCCTGCAGAGGTGGACAGGCCTGCAGTCAGGCCTATGGGGCTGACCTGGGGGCATGAGGGGGAGGGGGCACTCGGGGCTGGCAGAAGCCTCGGGCTGGGCCAGGTGACTGCCATGCAAGTGCCTAGGGGATCAGTTTCCCCAGGGCAGAGATGAGGGGCAGGCCCTGGGCCTCATCCCTGCCCCATCCTCTCCCCAACAAGCCAGAGCACCGACGGGGACCCTCCCACCTGCCCCCTCCCCGTCTACACACCACAGTTGTGCCAGAGGGGACCCTCAGCCTGCGGTCCTCACCCACAGGCCCAGGGGGTCATGCCTTCCCTGCCCCCCCATGTGAACCGCAGCCACCCCCCTTCCCCGCCCCCAGGCTCTGCTTCCTCGGCCCTGTCCTGGCTCTTAGTTGGGCTAAGCTGAACCCTGGAGGCTGCAGGAGGCGGCTTCCTGGGGTCTCATCGGAGGGAGGTGTCCCTCCTCCCGCCCTCCACCTGAGCCTGGGGCTGCCTGGCGGGAGGGTGGTGACCCCAATTCATACCAGTGGACCCTCGATCCCCTCTCTGGGACCTTTGGCCACATGCAAACAAATCTCAAGCCTCCAACTCAACCCCTGTTCCAAGTCAGCAGAGGACCTGGGGTCCCTTCTGGGAGGACTGACCCATGGTGGGGCGGGCAGGTGCTTCCTTCCAGGTCTCTCTGCCAGGTCCGGAACCAAGCCTTCCCCACAAGACTGTCCTAAGGGCTGCTCTGCCTTCTCCCTCAGTCCCTGTGCCCCGCCCGCCCCCCC